GCGGCCAAAAGAACAACTGCAAGTTAGTCGTAAAAATAAATTATCTGCCTAGACAACAATGTGGATAACTTATAAAGATTGAGACAGCTGGATCTCCTACCGATGGTTCACCACGTAAATATAAGCTAGATTAGTTACCTCTGTCGTAAAAAATAAAGGGTAATAAGAAATTGTTTAGAGTCTTTGCATGTCTAGTTGTATGGGCGAGAGACTCCTCGTTAAGTTTGACTTATTAGCACAGTTTTCACCGGAATAAGAGTACTTAGGAGACAAAACCGTAGAGAAAATGTATGAAGTACATTTGGAAGTAGCTGAATATAGTAGAATTATTGACGAGAACATAGACGTGACCAAAAGAGGAGTAGGAAAGAACTTGGCACCCATATATGGACAGAGATGACATTCGACAAGAATACAGTTCAGAGGAAAGGGAGAAGGTAAAATAGAAATGAGTCAGAACCACATCTAAACATTACAGCAACGTAACACACCGATCAAAGATTCAACCGGCGGATTGCACGAAGGAAAAGCGTGCAGGACGTCCAGTAGAGACAAACTGGGACCTTGGACAAAACGGATATATTCGTTACGTCCTTCTGCACTGCTCAGCTCTAGAAGACGCCGTTTTTCGTGTTCAGCATCGCAGGCGTTAGCCATCATTCGCAGCATCGACTGAAACACATGATATGTCATTATTCAAGCCCACAAACACCTGCCAACCATCACGTACGAACCTGACTTGGCGTAACGCGGATGTTCAAGCAGTACTTGAACAAGTAAAAAATGTTTCCTTCCGAAGGCAGATATTTGGGGATCTTCCTCAAAGATGGGTTGTCAGAAGCAGCTTCGATCTTGAACTTATTGTAGCTGAGTAGTCCAAGGTTAAGCCTAAAACAGAAAGATTTATTAAGTAATGTCGAACACTTGTTAGTATAATCAGAAGAAATTCGTACATAAGGCACTGAAACACACATTTGATGAATTTAAAATAAGCACTTTCCAGTTTGTCAAAAATATTAAATGCTGAAAAGTTAAATTGAAGCACAGAGAAACAAATAAATGATCAGATTTATAAGCTTAAGGTACACATATAGAAAGTAGTTTCAAACGAATGTAAAAACAAGTAGTTTCCGTCCTGCCTCAAAAAGTAGAGGTGAATATAAATAAAATAACATCAAGTTGCTGATGATCCCCTTAAGGCATCTCAATCAACATATGTTAAACTGAAGACACAGATCAAATCAGTTTCTTAAAATTTTAACGCAACGCTGGGCTTTGTATTGTGGAAGAAAAAACGTCATGAACCTCAACCATTAGTGTTCCTGTTGCAATGGCAAGATTCACTCTACGACACACGGCGTTATAACGGAAGATAAACACAGCTGCGCAGAGTTCAACATCATCAACGATGTGTGGCGGAATTGTGGCACTGTTCCCCACTGTTTCCTGCTGACTCTCAAGGAATGGATGAATCATCCGGAAACAGGACAATGCTTAACTTAGCGATACAAACAAGTACTCTGATAACTGGAGATCACGGAAGACATGAATTTTAGCTTCACAGGGAAATATCGTCGAACGCTAAGTGAATGAAATGCGACATAAAGAGTTCTTCGTGAAACGGGCAACAGTTATCTGGAGGAAAAAACCTCACAGTGTATGTGAAAATCGAAGCTTATGTGCATATAAAAAATATGCGGCTACTACCTATGCATTTTCAATACACACCTAGGTTATAAATCTCCTCACTTTTCAGAATGCAAATGGTTTTCAAAGTGACATAAAATATTCCATTATTTCATTTCGATGTTTCAGCCTCCGGTACAGTAGCCGTCATAGGGATAACAAAGTAAAGCATATAACGTACATTCTTTTTCAAAACACAAGGATACAGTATACAACTTAATATTAAAGTACAGAAAAATTACAAAACAGCCGTTGTGTAAAAACAAACAAGTGACTGTAGAAAAGAACTTGGACCTGAAGGAACTTAACAAAAAGCACGAACTGCGCTTTGAAAGTGGAGCAGTCGTAAAAATTAATAAGGTGTTTTTTATTTGGCTATATTACAGATTTCCATGCAGAACAGATATCGGGTGAACTGGTACAGCTTTTGCCCATCTTGTCCTCGTTAAGCGAAATATTTAGAAATTCCTCAATGACTAGGCTGAGTCTGTACCACATATTTCACTAAAAAGGAAATGATGTGCAACAACTACGTCAGCTCAACCGATGTTTGTTCAATCACCATAATTATTTCGTAATTTTTCTCTTCCTTATTGCTTAACTGTATACTGTATCACTGTGCTATAAAAATTTACTTCATGATGGCTACAATGCAGGAAGATGAAACGCCGTTAAAGTTCCGACGGTTACAGCAATTTGGATTGAGAAGATGTAAAGAGAAAATTCTAAACTATTACTGTTCAAGAAAGTTGCACGAATCTGTTACAGGACAGCATTAGACAAATTTTTCAAGCATAGAATCTTTAATGTTTCGAACCGCAAGATGAATCGGTGTTTAGAAAGTGAAATCAATAACAAAACAAAATAATTCGTAGTATATCGACATCGATGGCATCGGTTGTGCATGTGATTTTTTTGCCAAATCTCGTTTGGTTGTTTTGAAAAAACAACCGCTGGAGAATCGTCATAGAGTAAAACTACACATAGAAAAAAACCAAAAAACGACGATAACCATAAGCTAATCATGACATTAGCTGTCAAAATGCCCCAGTCGACAGCACACAACAAACACATCCTCATTAGTTATCCAGGATCATGAATTAAAGTCAAAACTCGGTCACTCGATATTAATCATTCGACGTGCAACACAGAGGGATGCAGTGAAGTTGTTTTGTAGCGGAATTAGAAAGTGCATATTTTCAGGTGGTACTGAACTAATTTACGACTGTCACCGCCAGCCACGATATCAGGTAGTCAAATTGTAAAAAGTTCCAAACGAACCTTTGCTGCAAATCTGATGTTAGCTTCTGTTTCTGCACGACTTCACGGAAGAAATCAGCAGATGACTATAAAAGAATGATGATCTCCTGATGAGCTCGAAATAATAAAAAATTGCCCGGTAGCCAACGCTGTACAGATTTTAATCATGAGAAAATGATTAACTCTGAATCTCTATCGACAGAGTAAAACCTAATATACGAACAGCATATAATCAAGTTCAGTTTGCGGCTGCTGTACTGCAGTTATGTGGTTTACATCAACACTTGGAAACATGTCCAAACTTGTCCTGAAGCTCTGACCCATGCTATTTTCAGTTAATAATCGTACTAATTCTTTTCGATACATGGTTTGAGACAAAAAAGCTATGTGAAAAATTAGTTATGCTTATGACGGGTTTCACTACAGTACAACCTGCAACATCACCAGCTAAACTGAAATTATAATTATATAGTAAACATCGTTAAGGAACACATATATCGGTTTACTGGTGGCGGTGAACTTCACTCCTTCTTTTAAAAAACTGATATTAGCAGCCCAGTTTTTGCTTAATTCATACGATAAAAATATTCATTCTACATGACGTTCTTGTTGGCTGTAATACGAATGGAAATTTCATTTGAAAAGTTCAAATGATTCGTGTCCTTACCAAAAACTGAAAATCCCATTGCTGAATGGAGGTGGTTTACCTACGAGATGCACGATTGCTGAATTTCTCATGCACACCAACCATTCTTAAAAAAGAGAGTTCATTTTCGTCATCTTACCCGTTGCACTACACAGATGAACGGAGAAGCAGTGGAGTCGGTGGAGAAGTTAACACATCTCGGGATCGAGTTTCTCGATGAAGGAAAACTGGAGAAAAAAACTGACCGGTGCACTGGAACGGTCAATACTAACAAAACCGAATAAGTGGGAAGTGTCAGAATGCTGCGTGAAGAAATCAGGGACCGGCGTTTGTCGTTGTCAAGCAGTGTGACCGAACAATCCGGACAGAGAATGGACACCTATGCAAAACTGCTCTATGCGGGAAAGCTAAAAATTACCAAGGAAACGTTCAAAGCCAACATCGCACCCCAAAGCAGCTGCGAGGGGAGGACTTGTCTACTAAGAGGAATATAACCTTTGCAGTCACAAGCAACATCGCCTAAATCATTCTGAGAAACCAAAGCATCACACGTCATTAATCTAGTTACTCAATGTTTGACATCCGATAGCTCGGATGACGACTACAACATTCGACTACAACAACAAGAGAAAATTTCGTGAAAAAATGTCGTACGTCCACCTGATGCCCAGACGACTATTGCACTGCACCATAAAAGGCACGAAGAACACCTACCTATATAAAAGCCAATTCACTTCGGCATCGGGATTAGGACACAGAAAGTAGAGTGCATCACCAGGTTCATACGTAAAGCCGCAAGCCTAAAACAAATACTATGAAAGCAGAATACGGCGGTGACAGTGCGGCGACTTACAGTCAAGTCTAGTGATATAGCGTATTTCTCCTTCCTTGCTTTAGCGTCTGTCAGCAACGTCCTGCTTATCACTGAAGCATAGAACAAAGGGCTCGCCTGACTAGGAAAATCACATCCGTTCTGCAACGGCAAATCTTCTTCGTTCTAAATTTTTCTCTGCAAATTTTTACACATTCAACTAAAATATTTTGTCACCACAAATTCATGAGTAAAGGCACAAGAAAACAAGGAACGGTCCGCTGCCAACGTAGGCACGTGTAAATCGGTCTGAGCTTGTAGTGCATCGGAATGAACTAACGAAGGCGTGCTCCAGGCACACAGGCACTTTTCGAAGGTGTAGAAGGTTTGATTCGGTTTGTAATGATCAGCATCAGCAGATTCAGCATCGGCTTCATCCTCTTCGTCGCCGGACACCCTCTCCTCGGATTTATCTTCTTCATCATCATCTTTAGTTTCAGGCTTTAAATTTACACTGCATGACAAAGTCCGGATCCCCAAAATATCAGGCGCATTTTCTAACTCGTTATCAGACATGGTTTTCAGCGGGGTGTCAGAATTGTACACTTTGGGAGGAACAATCTTCGAATTTAAACTGTTGCCGAGAAGCGCTTTTAACTTCACTACAACGGCTTCAATCCACGGCTCCGCTACAATTTCCAAGCTAAAAAATAAGTTCATTGAATATTGACTAATCGATTGCATGCAATCGCGATTAAGTTCTTAACACATCATCAGGTTAATAGGGAAACCACTTTAAACTAATGCATATAACTCATATTAATTTGCGGGAATATCGAAGACAAACAATATGAGCATATGAGATGGCAAATCTGGTTTGGAGGAAATATGCGATATTTGATACATGTCTGTATAACTAC